CTCTTCAACATAATAAAGGTCTTATTCTCTCCTCAAAGCCCTCTCCTTGTTTTATATTAAATGTTATTTTAGGACCTAAATATTACAAAGTCTCTGCCTTATTAGATTCAAGAGCCTTAGCGTGTTTTTTAGATGAAGAATTTACTAAGAGCCATAGCATATCTTTAGTAAAGAAAACTAAACCTATTCATGTAGAAGTCATAGATGGTCGTCCATTATCTTCTGGAGATATTACTCACGAAACCCTTCCTATAGAAGTAATAATCAATGGTCATAATAGTTTTGTAGTATTTAATATCATTAGATCTCCCTCTAATCTAGTCATTTTAGATTTATCGTGGTTAAAAAAATACAACCCTCAAATAGATTGGATTTTCTGAACTCTTACTTTCTCTAAAAGTATAACTAATAGTGTAATTAATCAAATAGAGAGTCATAAGTCCAGTTCAATTAAACCCGTATTTATAGGTGCAAAAGCTTTCTTGCATGCTGCTATGAAAGAATCACCATATATTATTTATGCCACACCCGTTTCTAATGGTGCAAAGACTTCATGTGATATTTCAAGCCAATATAAAGAATTTTAAGATGTATTTGAAAAAAAGAATGTGGATACACTCCCGGAACATCGTCCCTATGATTGCTCAATTGACCTTCAAGAAGGAGAACAATTGCCATTCGGACAAATCTACAGTTTATCATAAAATGAGTTAGCTGAACTCAAGGTGTATATTGAAGAAAATCTAGCCAAGAATTTCATACGCCATTCTAAATCTCTGGCAGGAGCTCCAATTCTATTTGTGAAGAAAAAAGATGGATCATTGCGGATGTGTGTTGATTATCGAGGACTCAACAAGATTACCATCAAGAACAGGTATCCACTACCTTTAATATCTGGACTTTTTGATCAGCTGAATCAAGCTAAGATCTATACAAAAATAGATCTTCGGGGAGTATACAATCTAGTACGTATCAAAGAAGGAGATGAATCGAAGACTGCGTTTTGAACTAGATATGGACATTTTGAATACAATGTCATGCCTTTTGGACTTATAAATGCACTAGCAGCTTTTCAACATTTAATGAATGATGTTTCGAGAGTTCTTGGATGATTTTGTGGTCTGTTATCTAGATGACATCTTGATCTATTCTAAGAATCCAGAAGAACATGAACTTCATGTTCGTCATGTATTACAAAAATTAAGAGATGCAGGACTCTATGTCAAGATAGAAAAGTGTGTATTCTATACTACTCAAGTCAATTTTTTAGGTTACATCATTTCAAATGATGGACTTATGATGGATCCTAAGAAAGTTTAAACTATTATAGACTGGAAGATCCCAAAAACGGTAAGAGATGTCCAATATTTTTTGGGATTTACCAACTACTATCGGATCTTTATCAAAGACTTCTCTTGAGTTACAGCTCCACTTACACATTTGACTTGTAAAGACAAACTCCAATGGAATCAAGAAGCGGAAGTTGCTTTTGAATCTTTGAAGATAGCGTTTGTTTCTGCACCAATCTTGTATCGTGTTGATTTTTCCAAAGCATTCTTTATGGAAACAGATGTATGGGACTTTGCTCTACGTGCGGTTTTATTACAAATGGGAACAGATGACAAACTTCATCCAGTAGCTTTTGATTCAAGAAAATTCTCAGCAGCAGAAATCAATTATGAGATCCACGACAAAGAACTTTCAATTGTGGATTCTTTTCAAGAATGGCATCATTATCTAGAAAGCACTTCCAGTCCAGTCACCATGTATACGGATCACAAGAACCTCGAATATTTTATGTTAGCACGCGTATTAAATCGTCGCCAAGCTCGTTGGAGCATGTCTTTATCAAGATTCGAGTTCATCATCACTTATCGGCCAAGAAAATAACAAGGTTTGTCCGATGCCTTGTTTAGACGTTCTTATCTTACACCAAAAGAAGGAGATGCAGCTTTTGAGCAACAAAGAACAGTTTTCTTGAATCCGAAGCAATTTCATCTTCGAGCAATAAAATCAACATTGACTATTGATTTAACTTTTCTTAAGCAAGTCCAGTTAAGTATGTCTTTAAACCCTCTTGTTCATGCTATTAAGAATAATTCTTCTAAATCTCATGATCCCTCTAAATTTGAATTCAAGAAAAACCTACTCTATTTCGAAGGACGCATATATGTTCCAGAAGGAGAAGCACATTTACGTGTTCTTCAAGCTCGTCACGACTTCCCAGCAGTAGGACATTTTGGATATAATAAGACTTTGGAGCTGATATCTAGGAATTTTTGGTGGCCTCAAATGTGGAAGGTAGTTAAAGATTTTGTACAATCATGTGATGTTTGCTCAAGATCGAAAATTCCTCGTCATCGACCTTTTGGACTTCTTCAGCCATTACCCATTCCAGAACAACCATGGTCTTCTGTTTCTATGGACTTCATCATGGATCTTCGAATCTCAGGTTCTCATGACTCTATATTCGTGATAGTAGATCATTTTACCAAGATGGCACATTTTGTACCATGTACAAAATCTATCACAGGTGAAGAAACAGTTAAGTTCTTTCTTGACAATATCTATTGCTATCATGGATTATCCAAGGATATTATATCAGATAGTAGAACTCAATTTGTATCAAGATTTTGGCGGACTCTTTTCAAGATTCTTAAAGTGGATATAAAACTATCTATGGCATTCCATCTTCAAAGTGATGGACAAACGAAGCGTGTTAATCAAGTTTTGGAGCAATATTTAAGATGTACCATTAATTACCAACAAGATGATTGGATAACTCTTTTGCCATTGGCAGAGTTTGCTTACAATAACACGGTACATTCTTCTACAAAACAAACACCTTTCTTTGGTAATTATGGTTATCATCCATGACTTCATACTTTTGACTTTTCAAAAGTTGATAATCCTCCTGCAAAAGATTTGGCAATTCATTTATCAGAGCTACATGCAACGATGAAGGCGTAGTTAAAAGAGGCTCAAGAACAACAAAAGGTTAATGCGGATGTCTATCAAAAGGAACAACCATCACTCATCTTGGGTGATAAGATATGGCCTTTCGTCGTAATATCAAGACCACTCGTCCTTGTGACAAGTTGGACTATCGAAGGCTGGGACCATTTTCTATTTCTGCACAAATCAATCCAGTTGCATATCGTTTATATCTACCGGGGTCAATGAAAATCCATCTAGTATTCCATGTGTCTCTTCTTGAACCATACAAGACAGTGGACATACCAAGAACATTACAAGCTCCACCTCCTCCTATAGAAGTGGACAATAATGAAGAGTTTGAAGTAGAAGAAGTCTTAGATTCAAGGTGGTGCTGAAATAAATTAGAATATCTTGTCCATTGGCACGGATATGGTATTAGTGAACGCACATGGGAGCCAATAAAGAATCTTGTAAATGTAGCAAAGGCGGTGGAGGCTTTTCATCGATGACATCCATCAAAATCAAGATGAAAACCTTCTTTATAAAAGAAACAACATCTAAGCAAGATAACATTTTACTTTCAATTCTTGTTCGTAGCTTCTTTATAGTAGTGACGCTCAGGAGATGGAGAACCAACAACCAGCGGATTCAACTCAAGAGCCTTCATTTGCTAACCTGCCGGACGAGACATTATGATTGTCACAACCTTCAAGACGACGTAATCGAGATGAAGATCTTCAAGAACGACATGTTCTTCCTTGAATAGATGGCGAGATACAACGCGTTTGGTATCACGATTTGGGAAAGGACTCTCGATGTTTGGTGATTGTGCTAGAGGTAGGAACAACTCCTGATGGTGTTCCAAATATTCTATTCGAAGGAAGTTACGAAGGCTTCAATAATGATCAAATAACTGGGTGGTCTTTTCGCCCTGGTATAGGACACTTCCAATGGTTGAGAGGCCCTATCAAGCATCTTCGAAGAGAACAAAGATCAGAGTATGTGGCGAATTTAATTTGTCGCATCATAGATTTCTTCAACATATGATGACCGCTCCTCATGGAACTCGTCCCTAGAAGGGGGGGTAATGTCATGGACATAATCATGTAAGCTAATAATTACATATACAAATAGGTAGAAGTAAGTAAAAGTAGGTAAAAGTAAGTTAATTCTATAGTATTTAATATGGAAGCTTCCTAGAAGCTTCATAGATGCTGATTTGACTTCATAGGTGTCTTTAATTGACTTTTTGGATTAGAAACGTGGTCAATAAGTTGGCCATGTGCCACACATGTTGTTAGCTTGAAGATCAAGCTAACTATGTGGCCCACACGTAGAAGAACTTGCCTTGTAAGTCAAGGCATGTGTCCTACAAAGTCAACACATATTGGAGGTCCTATAGAACGTCGCCACATAGCCCCTAGTTAGATAGTATATATAGAGACAAGAGTGAAGGCTTCTTCACTCTTGTCAACTCCTTTCTTGCTTCTAGTCTAGTTTCAAGGGTCTCTAGTTTTCTTGTCTTTTGGCAATAGCCATTCTAGTTTTTCTTTCAATATACATACTTGTTTATTTATATTTTGTTACCTTTCTTTGAGTGAAGGCTCACTTGTCTGAATTGTTTTTTCATCGAGTTCTTTTCCTTGACACTTCGACACCTTAATTATATGATATAGATGTACAACATATCTTAATATAATTAAATTTAAGAATAATGTGTAATGTTTTTAGTTTATGTAATGAATGGAGTATTTAAGAACTACATATATACCACATCGAAACTCCACATTGTCACAGTTGTACATCCAAACCGAACCTCTGGGACCTCAATTTTTATGTTTTTATCCAACAAGAGAGTTTTACCTATAAATTAGGCACAAAAGCACGCTCTCCAACCTGCCGGTTCCCCTACGCTCCCTCAATCCGTTCCCAGGCTTTGGATCAAGAGGGGGGTGGGGACAGGGTGTTGGGGGGGGGGGGGTCGTAGCTAGTTGTCGTGTTCTGCAAGGCGTCGCGGCCTGGAAATGGCGGGGGAGCCAGGCGCAGCACTGTCGTCACGGAGGTCCAGCCCGCGCTGCGACCAATTGTGCTCTTTTAGGGGGGGGAGGACAAGCCTCTCACTGCCACACCAACATTGTTTTTTTTTGTTTCTTTTTCTTTTTCTTCCTTCTCTGCTCTTCCCTCTCAACAATTGTGGATGGTGGGTTTGAATCGGAATTGAGTTGAATTACAACAATCGCACCAGCTGAGTGCGCCGGATCGGATGCAGTGGAATTCGTGCGTGGAATTCCGGGAGTTTTCGTTAAATTAGACTAATCTTGCAGGGTGATTTTTTTGAGTTAGTAGCTTCGGGGATTCTGGTCGCCTTAACACGCTCTGTGATTGCGGATTTGGGTTCAAAGTTGTCCACGGAGCTGTGAATAGTTCTGTTTGGTGTTTGCTTGCTGTAGCACTACAGAGTGAAGGCCCTTGCCATCATATTTGTTGTGTATACGTTCACTACTTCCTGACCTCCAGAATCTCTATCCTTTCTTGGTGTCTGGGCCCGTTCAACCCACTTTAGCTCCATGGCTTCACCTCACCTTCGTACGCCGGGAACGCCCAGTTTGCTGGAGCTGTGTATAAAGGCAGCAACCCGTGACAAATCTTGTGTCAAGGCCTGGCGCCAGAAGCGCAGGACGTTTGAAATGTTGCCCTCGGAGCTTGCCCACGAGCTTTTCAATTCTCTGCTGCAATCCCACCTTCTGTCTGCAACCCTCATCGGGTATGTGTTCAATTCATTTTTTCCAGCCCTCTGCACCAAGGTTATGTCTCTTGTTTATTCTAAGAATGTGACCTCACAATATTTAGCTAGTACAGGAGCATATGAGCATCCCAGCGGCTCTCAACTTGGGATATCATGCACGATTTTATTTGCCCTTCTTCGCCAACTTGCACTCTGTTACTTACGAGATTTTTTTTTGTTTTTTTGTTTTCCTTTCATAATTGCACGTTTTGTTTCTTTGCAGGTTATTTCAGTCGAACTTACAAGAGGTTAATTTGAGTGGAGAAGCAACTGTGGATGGGGAATGGATGGCTTACCTTGGTGGTTGTCGTCACCTTCGAGCCCTTCGTGCCACAGATTGTAAAGCATTGACAAACAACGCTATCAGGCAACTCACAGGTATATATTATTTCCATGACATCCAGATTTTCATTTGCATTTGGACATGAAAAAAACAACTCGAATTTTATCCGCACATTATCAAGCTCTTGCACCACGATTCTACATTGAACAATGTCCAATGTCTCACCTTTCTGATCCGTCTGTTCGATCAGTATTAGATCTAAATGTCTTTTCATGTTTCTGTGAATACAGGGCTCACAGCCATGGAAGAGTTGGACCTAGCTCGATGCAGGAAGATAAGCGATGATGCAGTGCCTCACATTTTATCATTTAAGATGCTACGAAAGCTTGGATTGGCTGAAACTGGTTTAACGACGAAAGGGCTCTTACTGCTGCCTGGGCTTAGTAGACTCGTGCTCTTGGATTTAGGGGGATGCCCTGTTACTGATGCGGACTTGATATCCTTCCAGGTTAGCCCTTTTAATATCAACAGTGAAGTAAATGTTCTCAATACTCGAGATTAGCAAGTTACGTTCTCCAGATTTTCCAGCTTATGACGTCACTTGCCATTTGTTTCGTTACATGAGACCGTCGGTCTTGCCCATTAACCTTTCAACATCTTTTGGAATTGTTCCCTTTTGTCATCTTGTTTGAGTTTTTGGAAAGTGCTCTTTCATGGCCATTTCTTTTTCATGTCTTCAGGGGTGAGTGTTCATTGTGGTTTAGCCTCGAATGTTTTTAAAATTAACAAGTGGTCTTTGGACGCAGGCGCTTGGAATGTTGGAGCATCTAGACTTGTGGGGAAGTAAAGTCACCAACATGGGTGCACGTTGCCTGTCATCCTTCAAGACCTTAAAGTATTTGAATCTTGCTATGACGGCGGTCACTGCCATTCCGCAGCTCAACTCACTCTTGTCATTAAATCTTTGCAACTGTGATGTGGAATCAATATACGGGGATGGAACTTTCTCGGATAGTCTGTTGAGAGAGCTTTTTCTTTCTGGAGCGAGTCTCAGTCTGAAAGATGTAATTTCTGGTTCTAATACAAGGAATTTACATCTTCTGGATCTTGCATCATCACGTGTCAATGATCTTGATGCATTCGTACACATACCAAAGCTCGCCATCTTGGATTTGCGCGCAACAGGACTCACTAATGAACTTATGCTCAAGTTTCAGGGATTGGGCGACAACCTCAGATGGATTGATCTCAGTTACACAAAAATTGACTCTGAGGGTGTAGGGGCCATTGCAGGCCATGCGCCAAATGTGGAACAACTTTCTCTAAATCATACTCCAGTGGACGATAATGTTTTTATCTACCTTGTTCATTTCCCTGTGCTACAATCTCTTAACCTTGGTGGCAGCAAAGTTAATGGTGCGGAATCCTACACCTTAAGTTCAGATTATGTGTATTGGGGACTCTCGCATCATTATTACATGATGTAACACAACACGTTTGCTTATGCTTAATTTCGTTTGTTGAGAAACTTAATTATGCATTTAGTCATCATTCAATATTTCATGGTATTTGGACTGCAATGTATTGATCATGAAGTTCGTGCTGCAAATTCTTTGACGTTAAATGGATGTGAGCACCGTGGAATGAGCCTTTTCTCTGACTGTAGTAAGATGGCTGATTGCAAGTTTGTCGTGTCGCAGGATTCATGACGGTTGGATCTGAAGAGTTTCAACAAATTTCGGTGTTGTCATATTTGGAGCAGCTTCAGCATCTGAGAAGGCTCGATATGCGGTACACTGGAGTTGGCGATGCAGCTTTACATGGACTTAAAAACCTCGTGCAACTTTCACATCTTCATATTCACAGTAATTCCTTGTCAGGTATCTGATTGTTTTCAAAGATCTCAGTTCACTCATATTTAATGTTTTCGGCTGCTTGTATTCTATACTTCAACATTTTTGTTAACTAAATCAATCTAACAATCGTAGCTTTTGAAGTCTTTTTCTTAAAAGATGGTTTCCTTAATCCCTTTTGATTTGTCAACTTCTTTTCTGAATTTTAGCTGTCTCTCATGTTGGGGCACCTGTTTCTCAGGACTATGTATACTAGAAATTTGTACCCTGCAGAAGTAACTTATTCCAAAGCCTGAAGTTGCTCATATGCATCTGGAACCCTATAACTGTAAGTGATAATGAGGTTTGAGCAGCTGGGTAGCTGTTAGTCTGGTTGAATATGCTTGGTCTTACTCAATGTTCTGCATTGTACAGATGAGTGTCTTCAGCAGTTATCATCTTTCCCCAATTTGGTGTGCCTCGGTATTGGTGGCGCGACGATAACAGCTGATGGTTTATTATCTTACAAACCTCCCTCTCTTCTCGAGGAGCTAGATCTTACAGACTGTTGGTTACTAACTGAACCTGCACTACTCGATTTTTGTGAAGCTCATCCTCGGATAATGGTTTGGAATGAGAAAACCGTCCCTGTTACCAGTTCATCAAAACCAAGATTTAATAAGAAAGAATACGGAGATGTGGTCAATGGAGGATTGGCCACCAGCTCTACTCGCCAACTGCTACAAGCAAAGCTAGATATGCGAAAGAGCTCTTCAAAATTGTCCGTGAAAGGCCGGATGCAAGCGACGAAAAAGGCTTTCAATAACACCATTGGTGTTGGAGTGACCACAAAGCCGCTGATTGTAATTGGTGTGTATCTGAGAGCTTTTTGTATTAAAATTTGTACTTGTGGGCGCACCAGTTTTGTGTCGACAACTTATGGAAGCCATTTAAGTCCATCAATTTCATTAAAACATTGCAATGTACTGTTTTTTGTATTTTTATAGCTAATCTTATTCACAAGAAAGGTCATTTTATTCTCTTCTACGAGAATGTAGATGAATTCTATCAATACGTCTTCAAAGTGCTTTTAGGTGTTAGATGGTTGATTTATTCGCATAACTGCTGGCAATTTTCGAACTGACATGCCAAAGTTTGCCACCATGTGACAGATGAGAGAATCAAGTACAAGAAGCAGGAACTTTTGCAACTTAGATCTGCAGACATGTCTAACTTTTCAATTCCAAATTTGAGAAATCTGAAAGACGATCTTCTGAAGATTAGCAGGCAAAACGGCGAAGTCAGAAGGAAGAAAGTGTAAGAGCCAAATCTGACCGCAGTAACCAACTCTGTGATGTTGCAATGTACAGGCTATTGCTGACCACTTCACCAAGGGATAGTAGAGTAATATGTCATAAGACGAAATCTCAAATTCTTTGGTCTTTGGTATTAATTTGGCGTTTCCTTTGGATTTCCATATATTTTTAATGGTATACATGGGTGTCATACATGAGGTTGAGGCTCTTTTTTCAACGAGATTATGACGTGATGCGACTGCGCAGCCTTCAAATTTACAACAATGGAAGTAATGCTCTTGTACAATTGCTTTCAAAGTACAATGGGACGGCACTCTTCGTCTGCAGATTTTGTATGGGATGTAGATATGTCGCAGACAGCATTTTGGTTTTTCTTAAGACATGCTCTTATTGAGTGAAGTTACGAAATGTAACCTATTTTTCATGAATTCAGCAACCAAAAATTGACGTCAGACGTGTGGAAGCCAAACAATCCTGTGCAGTTCTGAGTTTGGTCATAATTTTCTCGAAGATATTGTAACATTTTCAATAGAGGAATCATCGGCTTACATCAATCGAAAGATGGGTCAAGTTGGCATTAATCACAGACGCACCATTGAGTCACCGTAGAGTTAAAACTGCTGTGCATAATACTCCAGAATCAGAATTTGTGTATGCAGGGTACAAGGTTCGTGTATTTTACGGCCGTATGGACTTAACGTGCTGCGTGACCAACTCTCGTAGATTGACCCATCCTAATACATTATCACATGACTTGTGTGGTTATACAGCGCAGTACCATCAACTGAGTTCGCACAATAGGAGCGTTTGTGTTTGTGCTTTTGCTTTTTTTTCTTGTTTTTTTGGAACATATAGAGGAAAATCTACTACAGAGGGGGGTTAAATTACAAGTGCCTTAGCCAGGTCAGGACAGAGCAAAATGGTACAACCAGGATTGACCTTCTGAGACAAGGGTTAGGACTTACTAACTTCCAATTGGGAGTTATCAATGTCCCATGATGTGAAGACCTCGTTAGTGCACCAGATTTTTCTAAAATCTTCAGTGTACTTTGCTAATCCTGTCTGTTGTTTCTGTCGACATGGTTGGATCCTAGCCCATGCCAAACAACCATAGCCAATTATAATCAGCCAACATTTGTTATAAAATTCAAATGGGGTCCAGTGGGTTCTATTAAAAGCCACGTCACTCTCCTCCATCCAAAGATGCTAAGTGATCATTGACAATTGACATTCTTAAATTGCCTATGCGTCCAATAAGCAAAAATACCTTATTTCCAATTAGGCAAGAAGGTAGTATTGTGGCAAATTAATGTTTCACTTGTTGTAGAAGATGTGTGTGATCCCATATTAAGCAAAGAGCCTTGTGAGGTCAAGTCACTAGCAAGACAACTTAGTAATTGTATGATATTGGCTTCCTAAGACTAAGCTTGGTTTATAAATGATCATTTCTAAAATTTGTAGAAGAATATTTCTTTGGTACCACTCATGCATATGAGGCAACATTTATTGACCTCTGCACTTACTTTTCTTCTCCATGCATTTATTGTCATTGCTATGTGCCAAAGTATCTACAACAACTTAACTTTTTTATTTATCCTATATTTCTCTCAAATATTAGACTAACATAATTTATATGTGGAAGGAAGAATTTTGGCCCACTTACATTTGATGACAAGTGGAACCTTGTGTTGATGTCGTAAAAACAATTATCTAAGCTTAGCCACATAATCCATAATTTGTGTGGTTCCGTTTGTGTCAAGCATGCAATTATTATTCAAAATTGACCTTCTCTACTTGAAGTAATTAAAGTTCTATACAAGACAATCAATCGATTCATAAAAGAACAAAGTGTAATTTTTTCAGCCCTTGCTTAACTTCCACCACTTGCACTTGTCTACATATCTCTACACCTTTAGATGCCATGTCTCTCTCTTGGACAACATTGTAGTCGAGTACCATTCAAGCTTCTTCTCATACTACTTTACGATTGAACATTATGGTAATGACCTTGTAAGTTGTATTATATAGAGGAATACAAGATTTTATTTGCTTGATACCAACTAAAATGTTGTAGTTGTCTTACACACTACATAAGGAATGTTTTTGTTATCTATGTGGTATAACCCCACTTACTTGTTAGATTGTATAAGGAGGCTTGCCATTCAAATTAGTGATCTCTACAATTGATATAGAATGTTCACAATCCTAATTCATACACTCCATTCATTGACTATAAGACCAAATTGTGCCTAAGTCATCCAAAATATAAAAAATTGATTGTCAATCCATATATCTTTATACTTAGGCATCCCATTGTAATAGAGTGTTGTGGCACAAGTTTTTAAAATGCTAGAACTAATAAGCACAACCATTGGGCAAAACCACATATAGTAATTTAATAGTTCCTTGAGGCATGCTAGAAGGATAAAATTTAACCATAGTAGAAGAGCTTTTCTACAATGGTTAAAAGCACCTTATTCTATGTCTTAGAGTCTTATCAGCTTTGGTAACTTTGTAACATAAAATATTTTATGCTAGGTCTTTATTGACCACTTCCATATGGTTGGAAATTTTATAGCCAATATTGCAAAAGTACTTGTAAATTGGAATAATTTGACTCTATAGTTTTGATGAGCCATTTGGTCATTAAAGATAGCACCAAATTTGCAAGGAATATTAAGTTGAAGCTAGATGAGTTTTTTCATAAAAAAATGGAGCATTTGAATTATTAAAATCTCATTCATTTGAGTCATGGATTTTGAATTGAAGATATTCTTCATCTAATACCTACAAAAATCATATGCTCAAGTTGTTAACTTAAAAAGATGTACAAAGAAAGGATTGTTAAAAAAAGTTAGTTTAAGGCACCAACATCTTTTGTGCTGATTTATGTGGACCAATAGTAAAATTATTAGGAGGATTGTAATACTTTCTAACTATAATAGATGACTTCTCTAGATATACTTAGATTTATTTTCTAAAAATCAAAGATGAAACCATAAATAAATTTTTAAAAATTATTTTGATAAATAAAAAATAAATTTAAATAAACTATATATTTTTTTTAGAATAGAAAGGAGAGAATTTATATCTAGAGAGTTTAAACAACTACCAAACTCCAACCATCTAGCATGCAATATGATATTTATGGCTAAAGTATCAAATTATCTTTAAACCAAAGCCTTATAATTATTTAGACAACAAATCAATATTTTTCTAATAAAATCTAATAATAGGATTATTCTACATAAAAAAATATTTGGTATCAAACCATGTCTTAATACAATTTAAATCTTTGATTGCATAGCCTATGTGCACAAAAAATTCTACAAAAAAATAAATAAATAAATAAACCAAAACTAAAACCAAAAGCTAAGGTATGTATATTAGTAGGTTGCAAGTAAAATTCTATGATTTACAATATTTTGATCCTACAAAAAACAATGTGTTACTTTCTTAAAATTCCACTTTCACAAATAAAGTGTTTGGCATAACATACATGTCTTAATAGAAGAATAATTAGGGACATCTATTGGCACCAATTGTATAACATGGTTTCGTGATGTAATAGGATTAATAGATAAAAAGGGTGAAGAAATTATTATATTATAGAAGATCTTACTTCAAATATTGTAGCAAATTATCTTAGAAAATAGACAATAGTCCAAAAGAAAGTAAAACTAAAGATGTGAATGCTATCTTTTTACAAAGTAAGCTTCTATTTATTTTGTAAGGCCATTAATAAGATAAAATAAGGTAGATTAGAAAAATAAAGGATATGAACATATGTAGGGAGAAGTTAGAAGAGAATTTTAGAAAAAAATAATTTAAAAGGGCAATATTTGATACTCGAAGAAGACTGGATATCAAATTAGATTGAAATCAGACCCCAAGGCACAAAACTAGGCACTTATGGAAACTTTGGGGTTTTTTTTGTAAATTAAAGAGTAAGATTTGAGAGTAGACTTGATAAGGTTTCTTTGGGCGTTGATTTTGATTGATTAAAGTGTGTGATGACTTTGCAAGAGCTCTGAAAAGTAACAATTGTTTTGGGTGATTCTAAAATTTGTGAAATAAAAAGGTATTACATTTTAGAGAATTTCGTGAGTTTGGTAGTAGATATATAGTTCAAATTTTGAGGACTTATGAAAATAATTGTTTAAATTTTATGTTTTAAGTTTGAGCTTAATCAAACGATTAAATTGAAGGTTATTGAATTTCAAGTAGTTGAGGTCTCAAAAATTGGAATTTGATGAGTAATTAGGATTTTTAAGATCTTTAGCAATCTACTTGTTGGATTGGAATGAAATTTATGTGTGAAGATAAAAGAATTGATTTTTTATAAAAATTTGAAATTTAAAAAAAATTGAATAGTTCAAAAAGGAGATATTAGCTTTGGAAGTTCAATATTTAGATTGGAGTAGGAGGCTAGCCAATACTTGAGTAGGTTTTAGGATTTTTCTTCCATTTGATAAGTGCGATTAACTTCAAAATTTTTGTACTATTTTTCAACTAAGAAGTTGAGAGGTGTGTAAATTTTCAAGTAAGATCAATAATTTATTTAATAAATAATAGGATTCTAATCTACCTTAGGGTTTGATTTAGGATTTAAGATTTTTTTAGGATATGATTTAAGATTTAGGATTTTTTTAAGGTTTAGTTTAAGGTTTAGTATTTGTTTAGGATTTGATTTAGGTTTTAGGACTTAGAATTTGTTTAGGATTTAATTTAAGGTTTAGGATTTATTTAGGATTTGATTTAGGATTTAAGGTTTATTTTGGATTTGATTTAGGATTTAGTTTAAGATTTAGTATTTTTCTAAGATTTGATTTATGATTTAAGATTTTTTTAGGATTTAATTTAATATTTAGTATTTGTCTAAGATTTGATCTAAGATTTAGGATTTTTCTAGGATTTAATTTATGGTTTGATTTAAGATTTAAGATTTGACCTACAATTTGATTGAAGTCCATTAGATTTTCAATTAGGATTAAATTAAGACTTAATTAAAATTTATTTAAAATATATTTGTGATTATTCTAATATTTCTTTAGAATTTCTTAAGGATTCTTTTAAGATTTATTATGGATTTCTTTTGAATTCCTTTAAGATTTCTTATTTTTTCTTTTGTAATTTTTTTAAGGTTTCTTTTGAATTTGATTGAAGCTTGCTTAGCATTATTAATGGTTTAATTAAATTTATTTAATATTCTATTAGAATTAAGATTTTGTTGTTGCAATTTCCGTTCTACCTTCCATAGCCAAATGCTTAGTGCATTTTTGAGCAAGACTTCAAGTAATACAACAATGGACAAAGATAATAAAGTTGAAAAAATAAATTCAAAAGATGCAATTAACACAACTACTATTGAGGTAGAACTACAAGCATTACTCAATCTCCTAAATCTATTATGTATATTTGAAAACTTACTTATTAAGTTTGCATGTAAAAA